GATATCCTTAACAATCTTCATTTGGTATTGTAGTGAGAAATATACGGATGTTATATAGTGTCAAGTTATGTGGTGTTACATCTGAATGAATAAAAATTCAATATGAAACCTCTATATACATGTGTATTACACATACAGAAATAATGTTAGGATTGAAAATTTGGCCTTGCCTAATAGAATCGTATATAATGTGTTCCAGACCAATCAATCAATGGAAAATAGGAAAAAATAGGAATCTCTAATATAAAAAAAAAACATATAATGAATCCTACACAAAGGGGAGCTAAACACAACACGTGGTTTCGGATCAGATTTACTCTGTATGGGAAATGCTGTTATATTGATAGTGTATAAAACTATTCACAGTGTTAACTCTGTGAGAGTCAGAGACAACCTCTGATTTGGTATAACAACACGAGAACATAATGGAAATATATGGATGGAAATCAACATAAATCTTTCTACGTGTAGTAGATAACATCAGAACGAATGTTCGGTACATTATCAGATAAATATTAGCGCGATGAAGGTCCATCATTCTGAAGTATTTTTCGTTTCCTTTTCGCGAATTCACTAGATTATGGATGATTGTGGTTGGGCTTTGCCGAAGAATGATTAAGATAATTTATTATTAATCAAATATCATTGTTTGTAAAGGGGCCCTGGTAGGGGACAATACGATGTTGAATTGACAAATGTTTTAATGCATATATTACATAAAATCAAATGCAATGTTCTTTAGAAAATTTCACAACATCCTGATTTTTCAGTCTTAATCACATCAGTCGATAGAACGTTTTCTATTGTTAAAAATGTGTCCGACTCGTTTTGAAATCTGTCATTACTATATGAATTGTCAAACCGTACATTCGGTTCAGTATATACTATGGGTATTGATATAACTCTGGACATAATTGGTGTGTGACATGTTTAATCCATTTCATTTACGGTGAAATTCCTTTATCTAAAGTTTTCATTCAATATAAGTCCTGATATAACGATTACCACTGACGGTCTTTAAATCCTCGGAAGTAGACAGTTGCTTGGCAGTCTATTTTGGAATCCAATCGCTTTCAAAGATTTTGTTGATAAATCGCATTTATCGTCTGTGTGGTTTCATCAAGGCTGCATGGGAATCTAATTCTGAATGGGAGTGCAGTTCTTACAATAACACAATGCAATCTTGACTGAAGTATTGGGACAGGACTGTATTTCAAAATGGTACCGTTTATTTTAGAGAGAGCCTCTTCAAAGTTGGAAATACACTGGTGTGCTGAAAGGTCATTAAATTAACTCTCGTAAAATGTTCAAATTCAAATCTTTAATTTGCATCTCGAGTAAAAAGAGATTATGTTTACGACAAGTTAATATAACTTAACGTTCACGCCTTCCACCCGTAAACCATCATTAGAGCCCGTTTATCGTAGAATAACAGTCTGTTTGATAAAGTGCATTTGACAAGAAACGTCAATCAAGTCTGTATAGATGATATCTTAAATTCTATAAACAGAAAGAAAGTAAGTTTTAAGAAAAAATAAAATCGATCGTTCTGCCTTGAGAAATTTATCACAAGCTGGAAACGTCACATACAAATCGTTAATGTATCATACTCAGCTGTGCAAACATGTCTTTATGCGTTATTATACATTTGTTATAGCCATTCTGACCTGTCTATCAATCAATATAAGGTAAAATAGATATGAATTCCTGAGACAAATACCGTGTATCATAAAGGGTGAGTCTCTATCTGTGGATCAGATTTTATGAGTTGAGTACTTGGAATGACTTTTAAGTAGCACGTTTAGAACAGATTGTACAACACACATACAAGTAAATAGCACTTTTTCATAACTTAGAATGCGATACAGTAAAGCCAAACAATTAATTAAACTGCAACAGTATAAATTCAATCAGAACACTGATTTTAAGTAGCATAACGCCCTCACAACCAGCGTGGAGATCACTTAGATATCAATCTTCAATCTTATCATACTGCAATGTTGGAAAATAATCACCACAACATGACACTCCAACTGTTCTTATCATACTGAAGAACTGTTACACTTAATTGTCCCCGTAAAAATGTCTGACAGGGACACTCAAACACGGCAAACAACTTATCAAAAATCCAACACAACATGAGCTTGATGAGGAATGAATACAAGTGAAGTGTTCGATTAAGAATACACGTGTTTCCCTGAAGGGAAGTTAGGACACTTTGAGGAAGTATTACTATTTTCTAATATATGTATACCAGCGATGAGGATAGCTGACATGTTGAAACGGATCGCTGTAGTGTCCGATATTTATTTGCGCCTTTATTTCCGTTTCCTCTGTTCTGTCTCTGTTATAAAACAGTGCTTCATTGCTGTCTGAACATGTCTTCTAATATTCTTACATTCAGCACCTTATTGCTTAAACTAACCTTAATCAACGGATCAGTTGTTGCTAGGAGGAACCTTAAGCTTTATTCCGACATGATGTTTACTTCTCGTTAGTGGCCAATCACATGAGGACATCTCGTCATAAGGTGACGTCATAAATCACCAGGAAAATAACAATTTTGATCTCATAGACCAATTATTGCTTTCTGACCAGTTTAATGAACATTCCGGTCTGATTTCCTTATTATTGATCATGTATATTAAATTTTCTTATGATTTAATGGTTGATTGTTGTACAATTGTAGGTATGCGACTTTCGTTACCTGATGAGATATGAATTTTTGTTTAACCAGGTTTTATAGTGTAAGGATATAATCTATAAGTATATGAGATATGACGATATACGATTGAGAGATGTTCCTACCTAATGGTCGTGTCTACTATTCTCGTTATAATGATATAACGCATGACATTACTGAATTAGATCTAGTTACGGTTTTACTTATATCATCAATAAAGCAAAAACATCCATTGTCATGTAAACATTTATACTTTTATATAAAACGGGGAGTGGGGGAATTTAAAGGAAACAGGTCATTTATCGTATGTTTCTCACAGTTTCGATTATGCACAACGTTTACATAAAAACTTAGTTGCCGTATTGGTCTTCCGTCTGGCTTTCAAACAAGTGATATTGACTGATGGACAGAAATTAAGTCGACGCAGTAAAATATGATAAATTAAGTGAAGAACCCATTTTTTCGCATTTTGAAAGGTCGTCTTATGTTATCTAAATTAACCAATATTAAAATTGTCGCTATCACTCATGCAGAGTAAGACATACTCTTTCGGAGCACATGGTCTTATTCTCCGTGCATTTTGGTTTTACAGTTTCAGTCTTTCCTTTGTTTTAATTTTGTCCACGTGTCATCGAATACGACCTTGGATTATTATTCTGTTAGAATATTTGTTATGCTTTGTTGTTTTTATGTACAAAGGAATCGATAGTGACCTCCCGTACATTAAATGTCACAGTTTACATCACGACGATTACAACGATCTATTCATATTAGATTATATAACAATGTTTTAACTGTGTGTTTTATATTAGCACTCTATTTGTAATTACCGTCAGAAACATTTTATTCAGTTGTTAAATCTATTGTCGACAGCGTGTAATGAAGGAACTGCCTTTAACCTAATGCGAGATAAAACAACATCTTAACACTAGCCTTCTCTGGTGACATTTTGATAGAACGACCAAACGCGTGGTGGCTTAAATTTCTGAATGCAATCGTATCTTTCTTTCCTGGGTATCTTGAAAGCACAGTATTTTCTTTTCCATGGACACGCGATGCTGTGGGTAATTTTTATCAAGACAACTTTATGTGAATGTTTAGATTACGACACAGAAAGTGATCTACATTAAATCCTTCTTTAATGTATTTATGTGAAAAATCTACGAAATATATTATGATTTAACGTTTTAAGCATGCAACAAGTTACACAGTCAGTTGGTTGTTTTATCGAGTAATGTATGGTGTTATTATCCTTATCATTCCTAACAGGTTTAGCATGTTTCTAGCTTCCGACTTCAGACGGAAACACCTCTACATAAATTTAGATAAAAGTCTGTATTATTAATAGAGCTAAAGAATCTACACTTGCAAGCATTTGAATTACATTTCCGTGTCCTTAATTATACAGTGGTACGAATATACAACATATCCTTGTATTAGAGCTTGAATGATATAAAATCCATAAAGTTTAATGTGGTTTCCTGATGAAGCTGTTACTCTACCATAACTTGACATCTGGAATATAGAAGTGAATATAACGTGTTCGATATGAATCATCCGGATTGGACAATATCACCTATATACAAAGTATCTCCGAAAAGGGAAATAAGTTTATCTCATAATCAAAACATAAATTATAGAAAGGAATAGGGAAGGAATTACTGATGTGAGATTCATTGCAGAATTAGTTATTCACTTAAAGAAAGTATTTTTTGAAATGTCAATTATTTCGTATGTAGAGTTCAATTTATTATTATTATTTCGTTTATCCTTGCAATCGTTTGCTGGCTGTCTTTCAATAACTCATACTTGCACTTTGTTTAGTGTTCTTTAAACGGAAACGTATGAGCTTACAGATAAAGAACGAGGCAAAAAAGTCAGCATTGTATTTTTCGTTTTTAGATAAAACAGTTGTCAAGTTTGACGGTAATGGTAACGTGTCCAGGTTATGATATTTCAGTGCAATAAGGCTGTTAATCATAAATCAATACACACTCTCCCCATATGGCCGTTAACGTTGTGTGGTGTATGCAATGTTGTTACCTGTATTAGATCTTTTAGGGAGATTATACGAACGTTGTGACAACCCAATGCTTTTTTCTAAAAATGTAAATATGGTATTCGGTTCTGAATATCCTTGAACTTCACGTAGGTTGCTCAGAAGATGAATTACAGCATGTATTGCATCTTATTTTAGAGAAAATATTTCTGTACCACTTCGTAACCTTTTTATACCTTGATAAATTTACTTTTATCAACATAGCATTATTTCAATTATCATGAATATATTATAATAAAACAAATTTTATCATTCCAGGTGTGGAAAATGGCCGGTGCAGGTTGGGCAGTAGCAGCCTTAGGGTCCCTACCGATGCTGTACGTGTTCCGAACGAACGTCGTTGGTGGTGTTCAGAAGTGTGAGAACATATTCAGAGATCTCCCAAGATCTCACAGAAAGGCATTCCTAACCTATGCTGCTGTTATCGTATTCCTAATCCCAATATGTCTCCTCATTTTCTGCTATACTAGTATCTTTCTGAAGATAGCTCGGAAGGCAAAGGAGAGCCAGACTTCAAAGCGACACTCCATAAAGCCAGGGAAGATACATCTTCAAAGTACAAACTCTAATTCTTTACCAAAGGCAAAAATCAAGACATTGAAAATGACCTTTGTCATTGTCGTAGTGTTTCTCGTGTGTGGAATTCCATACTTTATTGCCGAGATGATCATGTCATATGGAGATCATTGTATAATATCAGACCTAGTGTACGGAATCATTGGCGCGCTGGCGGCTGCGAACTCAGCAGCCAACCCATACGTCTTCTTATTGTTTAACTGCAATGGACGTTACTCTCGTGACCGAAAGAGATCCAGTTCAGAAGCCATAGGGAATTCGACTACTCGGACCGTTTATTCTACAGCAAGTACTCGTTCTGACTATGTTGGAGACTCAAAGGCAATTTACCAACCGTCGATAAAATACAAGTGGAATGCCAATAGTCAAAACAGCATGGAGATGAACTCCATGCGGTAAAATGAATGCTTCCTTGCATAGGTAGCATCACCTACATTGAATTATGATCAAGTACAATTGTTAGCTGTCGGTTCCCTTCCAATGGACATAGATTGATACTTTTATCAAAGTAAGAAATAAATATATCACGACCTTGTATGAAGATGACGTACTTTGACAAAGACGTCGTGATGAAAATGTTTAAAATTAAAATTATCTCGTTTAATTTAATCTAATGACCTTAAAACCGATATATTGGGTGCGATTCTTGTCAGAGGTGTTTTATCCCTGTATTCAACATGTGAAATATTCATTTGACTTTATTAACATCGTGTTAATGATTATTGTTATATATGTCTATTATTGTAAATAATATGTAAGTTTGATATTATACATTATGTGTGTAAAGGTTATACTATGCCTATCACATTTTCAGCTGTATATAATGAATATATTACACCAGCAGTCCGATTCATTGATTTAACTTTGATTTTAACTCAAGGTATAATATGATGCTCCCAAAACAAGCTACATGTAAAATGAATATTATTTGTATCGTGCATTGACTCCATTGAGATGTCATGCGTTTTACCTAATACGAATACTTCATTATAAAAGTATAACAATGTTGGAATTTTAAGAAACAAAAACACATTACTACATCCTTTTAAAGTGTTAATTTCTCAATTCAGCTTTGTTTTAGGGTTTAACATACAACAAATATGGCATGTAAAAAAATCGTTTGGCCAAGTAAGAGCTGCAGATCCAGAAGAGAAGATACATAAGACGGTCCATGAGATCGCAAACAAGTTATTAGAATGATTAATAGGTCAATAATTGATTGGTATTGTACACAAAATACATCCAATCGAAACTATTAATTATCATGGATATAGTAAGATGCGAAATACTTTATGAAGAGTAAAAACGTGTGTCTAATGAGTATACGAAAACGGAATTATATGTCACGAGTGTTTAGAATCATTTGTTTAACCTTTAACCTTATTTGTTTGTTTAAGGTTCTGATTAGTAAACGTATTCATCTTTTACAACGATATACATGAACATACAATTAAGGTATTTATTGGGGTGAACTATAGTAAAATAAAACGACGTGTTTTAACATAATTGTATTGTATTCGTTACATAAGCAGAGTTGAATAAATGCACAGAAAAGTATTACACAGGCTATGTTTATTGAAATCATTTTGTGTACATATTGTTCTTGTATGTTTCAGAATAAAATCATTGCATGTATTTACTTTTCGTTTAAGAAGAGAAACTTAAGACACGTGATTTATACATCTAAATACAAACTTAGTATAGAATAAGGTAGTGCCAGATAAATACTAAAACTTCATCATACAGATGTTTCGTCCTACTAGGACTTGTCAGTGATGCCAAGCCCCTAAATATTGGAATCTCGTGGGCGACTGAGGAAAATCTAAAGTGACTGAAAAAAATGTGAAATTCTAGATTATGACGAGGTAAACTAGTCGAAACAATTAGTTCTATTATCAGAAGCGGTAGAGGAATCGTCACGTGACACCGATCGAGTTATAGCCATATGGGTATGTTTTTAGTTTGGATTATTAAGGTGGTAAATATATATACATGTTTTCGCCAAAATACAGTATAGGTTTAATTTCATTGTGGTTTTGTCATAGTGTTACAATGTAGTAAAACCGCTACTTTAGCATTTGTTCAACACAAGGCAATACTCTGATACCTTCAATTGTATATTTAAATCTCGTTTGAAGTAGAATTATAGTATCCAGGGCGTATTAATTGTTACTAATCTTTATGTGGTGTATATAGAATATAGACTATCCTCTGTCCATTAACATTTCTATACATGTACATTCAAAATACTTTATTGACTACCTCTGTGAGATAAAATTCCTTCTTTGTTGTTCTCTTCCTCTTCAAACATCACGATCGATACTTATGTTTTATTAAAAACAGTATGTTACATATCTTTATTGTATAGAACAATATTTCCAAATTGAATGTCATTAGCATAATTTGGAGATTGTAATTGCAATTATATCCTTTGTTGTCTGCCTTTAACTTGGGAAAAAATATTGCTTACGCTGTCGGTTTTAGTCAGATGTATGTATATGTGTACAAGCTGATGAGTAGCAACATCAATTGTTTTTTAAAAGTTACTTGCCTTAAGTCATTATAATCAAAATAGCAGCGTTTGTTACATTATATTTTATTATCACTACGTACAAAGATGAAACTTTCACATCAAAGATTATGTTTTTTGTAATATACGTTTCTTTGACGTTTGGGTAACACTTATTGGCAGAGTCATAGAAAAAACTAGAAACACTGTCATTAATTTCAGTTCAGAAGTAAATTTAATGAAGTAATTAAGTTGAACGAAATATCAGTTTCGTCTTTAAGGGATTCTGCTTTTAAAATTAATATGCATTTAGGAATCAAATGATAATTGACGCTGGGGCTTTGCAACGAATGGCGTATATCAAAACAAGCGAAATTGCATTTGTGACAACACACTCCGAAGTTAGAAACCAATCAATAACATTTTAATAGTGTAAACTTATTAGGACAATGTTTGACTCATTGCTTCTACATTATGGAAAAGTATAAAAATAATATGAAAGCAAATTATATCTCCTTAAGGTAACGTATTGTTCTTGTTAGAAGAGTAAACAATTGTGTTAAGTATACAGGTGAAAATCTACTTATTTCATAACTACATTTATATTAATGTGAAATGTTATAATTAATGTATATGACAAATGTGTCACTTCAATACATGACATGCACTATGTATTTTTTTCCAGGTCATATCATTGTATCATTCTTCTCTTTCATATTTAGAAATTACATTTAGAAGCAAACTAAAATTCAAGTCGTCAGTACGTGTATATGTTGTATAATTACGATTAACGAATATTTAACAAAGTTATTTTATGTTTTGAATGTCTTGTGTCTTTTTTACATAGAATTGTGATTCCCCATTACCGAATTCCTTTATGTACGCTATCATTCGGTATCCCACAGTGACAGTCATTCTACTCGCACTCAAGAGTGTATAGTTAAGAATCGTTTAATTAAAACAAGTTAATAAACAAGAAACCTTTTCAAAGTCCATGGAATTTTAAATGGCAGATATTTTATATAAAAACAAATGGAACCAGATTGCGTCAATGCGAATTTTGTTAACAAAGGAAATGTATCGCCATACTGTAAAATAACATTCGTTGATGTCAAATCGTGTGTTTTATGGTCGCCAATGTGACCTCATTCACATTTATTTCCTTTTGTGATATGAAGCTTGACGTCTTTCGAGCTCGTTAGTATGCCTTCATGTTCCGTTTGTTGTGTATCTTGTTCTTATTTAAGAACGTGACATTGCTTACATGAATTGTTCAAGGTTTACATGTCATTGATGAAGCTGGAGACGCTTACGCTTCCGGAACTCCAGGTCTTATTATCTTATTTATTATTATGAACTCTCAGGAGTCTCTGTGTTAATCTTTCTTTTGTTCATATTTTTGTCCTAGTTTTGTTGGATTTGAATTTGGAATAGGATTATGTTGACATATTGTTTCGTGACTGTCTTTCAAAGAACTCTTGCATAGATAATAGCGTAATATCATCTATTATTCCCTGTCATATATTGAGCTAGGTGTCGAAAATAAAACTTAAAACAAAAAATAATAAAATTGATAAATGTCTTCTTACTATCTCTTGACCATCACAACTCCGTGAACTAACCTGGTGATTTTACGCCAATGATGATAACCGATTTTCATTTTGTCGACATTGAGCGGCCGGGTGAATGACTTTTCGATGGTTGATTGTCCTCGTAACATCTGATACCACATGAAGACCTGTGATTGGAACACTGATGGATAGGAACACTGATGAATGCTTTATGCTTTACTATTGAAATGTCATATCCTTTATAGGGCAGCAGCTTGACACCCAACCCATTCACGTGATTCTGACTCCATTTCAACTGAACGCCAAGCGCAGAAAAAACACGAATCTTGTTGTGTTTGTTTTATCTTTGACTGATAAAAAACAATTTTAAAACAAAGGCCAAATCAAAGAGTTGCAAATCGATGCATGAGGAATAATGATGCTTTAGAACAAGAAAAGATAAAAGATCCAAGGTCGCCGCTCGTCCTTTCCAAGTATTATATAACAATCAGTATTTATAATTTGAAACAAATACGTTAGCTAAAATCATTAGAAAACATCACACATCACAAAACAAAATAATTGTTGATAAAATATGAAAGCAGATCTTTATCATTATTTCAGTGACAAGACTTAGTAGTATAAGAGTTCCTCGCAAACAGATCCCCTTCGTAAATGAGAACATTCCGCCATCGTGTGCTAAAAGCAATAATTACAGAACGGTAGACGATATCGGACGTTGATTGGACTTAATAGGGAATGCCTAACGGTTAGTGCAGCACTAACAATGAGACTGACCTAAAGGAGTGCGTGGTCATCCAGATCAATACAAACGTTAACTTCTCATCGATGAGAAATCCGCTGAAATCAGGAGTAAAAAACTGGATTTTTTTTAATTTCTATCCTGGAACTCGAAGAGAGATCAAACGTAATGTTCAAAGTATTTTCTTATGTTTTAAATATTACGTATTAGATAACGCAGGTTGAAGCTATATGTATAAGACACAACAGAGATGACAATACGAAAAAAAACTGAAATGCAAGGTGCACATGTATTCTATTACGTTATATAAATGAACACATACATATATATTTCTATATATGTTATACATCCAAGTGAATTTAAATAATTTAAGTATGTACGTTAACATAAACCTGGTTTATGTTTTGTCAAACTGACTATGCATTAGTAAGAAAGGAAGTGACTGAAGCTTATTTTGGCCCACACTGACAGACGACTGGTTGTGTTATATCTCGGCTAACGTATCAATAACAAGCAACACGGTAACAATGGTGAAAGCATAACCAGCTTTATGTGTCGCTTTTGTATTTTTAAAATG